AGCCAGCGGGCTCTCTGCTCTGCCCTTCCAGTACTCTAAGGGCTCAGCGCTTGCCCTTTTCTACAAGTAGCTTGCTGTTCCTGTATGCGGACCTCGGTACTCGTGTGCTAACAAGGGCGACAGCAATCATTTTAAAATTTGGGAAAAGGTGGCCAGAACAATCCTCTCTGATGCCCTTAAGCCCAGGGCAGCCCATCTCATCTCCACGCCTTGTGAAAGGGGAGGTGTCTGCGGAGAACGCGGGGCATGTAGATACTGTATTCCGCTGCCAGTGGATATTCCAGTTCAGGGCATCTAACCTCATTTCACTCGGAAGCTGGTGTAAGCAGTTCTCACTGGTACGAGTACTAAAATAGGAAACTAATAATTCCTAGAATCTGGGTTGGCTTATTATGAATGTCAGACATTAAAGAGAACATTTCTTTGTAAAACTTTCATTCTAGGATTCAAATAGACTCTTTTAGCCCCTCTTCTACTCATTTTAATATGAACGGCCACATAAGTGCTCTCAGTAATAGTGCTATCCCAATTTTTGCGTGACATTCTGTCAACGATGTACATTAAAAAGAGATTATTAAATGGAAGATGCTTTTAGGTCCCCATATTTTTGCCACCTGAGGCAGGATCATTAGGTTAAGATAAGAAAATAACAGCGATCTGTAGCTATTACAGATTATTTAGTGCAGTAAGGTAGATGATACCCTTTTAGAAAGAAGCCTGACAGTCAGAGGTGGAACAGTTACTGTAATTTATTTGGCAGGAAAAAACAGCGTCAAGCTTTGCAATTTCTGTGATAAAAAAAAAAAGAAATTCACTTGAGTGAAAGTCACTTCAGAGAGTTGCCTCCAGGAACGGGGCATGCCGGAATGTTAAATCAAGAAATGTGCTACAAATCGTTCATGTACCACTAAATTCAGAAGCAGCAGCTGAGTGGCCTGTGAGACTGAAGGCAGTGGGAGAAGGTAAAATGCATTCAGCTTTTAGTGCTGGGTTTACTGCACTATTAATTGAAGACATTATCACAGTTGAACCGAGTACACCGGTGTCAGTGTGGCTGGCAATAATAAAGAGGCAGCCATTTCAGTGAATTATTTGAAAACATTCCAGTACATAGTACATAGCATGTTAGCTTTCATAATTAAATTAATGCCTTTTGATTTGAGACCACTGGCATGTGTGTTGTGGAATCTGGAGGAAATAGAGGAGAAGATTTCCAGGGAGGGAGAGGAGAGAAGAGACCTCCTGAGAGGCATGTCTACTAAACTGCAGCATTTCCCTCATCAAGAATATGCTTGTCCCCTGAGAGGTAAAGCAGGTAAAGACAAGGTCCCAATTCTTTTGCCTCAAGTGTGCAGTATTAATAGAACATAAAGCTAGATCCATCATCTTCACAAGAAGCTCGCCACACTGCAGGAGGTGACTGGACACCGGTAAGCCCAATTTGTTGAAGGATAGCTAATTTACATGGTTAGTGAACGAATTTTACCTTCACTACAAGGATCCTCTGAAATTGCGATGAGCCTGGTATGATACTGTCAACCAAATGCAAGCAAGAACCACCCCGAGGCCAGCGTGAGTTACTTTGGAGGCCAAATTTAGTCCTAAATATTTGGCCAGTCAAGGCCCAGGATATTGAGCTCGTAGTCTCTGACTGAAAGAAACCTGAAATTCAATACTAGAACGGTTCATTAAGCAGGCAGACATTGACACTGGGAGAGAAGGGATAGGGAGTGTGGGCTGCGGTTGCCATGGTTATTTACAGGTGTACACACTGGTTCCGTTGCATCAGAGAGTAGTTATTTTTCGAAGTCTCCACGCTTTTAGGCGGTGGGGCAAGCGAGCTTTAGCGGAGCTCTGAGTGCAGGGAGGACAGTGGCTAGGATTTTGGAAGTACATTCAGGATAGCAACGAGCACAAACGTGGAAATGGAGGAAGGAACTCCGAAGCTGGTGTTATTAGTGGAACAGAAGAGAAAGGGGAGATACCTTAGAAGTCCAGATCAAAGGCCTAGTGAAATACTGTCCTGCACTTTCTTACTGGGAGGAGAGAGGGGTGGGGAAAACAGAAGCCCGTGACTAGTACTAATTATGTTGCCGTGACATTTGTATCATGAAGAAATTGGCCCCGTTTGGACACACTGTGAAGACATTATGTATTAGTGAGACCCGTGCCGGTCTCTGTAGATAACGTCCTTCTTCAGTACCTGACGACCTAAAGCATAACGTTGAGAAGACAATGCACGGTGGTGATCACCTTGGCATTATGATTTATTAAAACAACTCACTGTCCAGGAAATGCAAAGGTGGAAGGTTTGTGGAAAAATGTAAAACATGGTCAAAGTTGTGAACTGCAATGAAAAACTGGGCAGAGAGGGCTTGTGGAAAAGGGCACAGACGCTGGCAAGAGAGGGGGTGATAAATGAGACATTGAGTCTGACATCACTTGCAAAGTGGTTTTACAAATAAGCATCAAAATCTGAGAAGACAAGGCTGAGAAAATTTCTTCTGGGTTCTTAAAAGAGAAGAAAGACATTGAGTATTTCAGATTTGGTCCACATGTTAAGGAAAAATTGCTTTTCCAGGAAATTAGTTGCTTTTACCTGCAGAACATAAAGTAGCATTCTGAGGGGAGAAAAATCTGAATATTCTTAAATCTGCAGCTGCTAGTAGTAGCAGCTAAATAAAATATTTCTAAATAAAACCCTTTTTTCTTTCAGAACAGAGCTGTAGTGTTTATTTCCCAGACAAGACTGCTTTTTGCATTCGAGGGTGAGGGTTTGGCATGTTAGTAATTATAAGGTAGCTGTTAGAGTGAGGAAGCACTGTCGTTTTCTGAGTGGCTGCCTCACCCATTGTCCTCTTTTTGGAGGCTTTATATAACTGTGTTTAGTTTTCCTTTGGTTTTGTGCGTCTTCAGTGAAGTAACAGAGGTGTCCTGTAGGACTTAGGAGTGCATCATTTAAATTTGACACTAAAAGTAGTCTGAGTTTAGAAATAGCCAAAAAATCCACCTTGCACCAGATCATTAGCTGGTATAAAATGTTTTATTTCCAGTTATACCAACTGAGCTACAGCAATTCACGTCAGGTTAGGATCTGACCATTCCTGTGTTACCAAACACCCAGACAATACTTAGAGCGAGATGAAAGAGTAGAAGAGTTAGTTCGCTCTTTAGGAAGTAAAAAATGTTAAGTAAATTGAATACTTTCTGCACATCAAGAGAATGGGGTAACTTAATTACAGAGGACTGGAAAAAGCAGCTAAGCCAAAGCTCCTAAAGCATTTCCTACTGTAAATGCTTGTATTTAATTGTCAGCAATTGTTTAGTGTAATTTGGCCTGTTCCCCTACGTCAGCTCTGATACTGGTGTTTATTATTCTTGGAAATATTAGCTGTCTGTAAGAGCTTTTCAGTTTTAAATAAGAAGCAAAAATATTAGTTTAGGAACAATTGTGGGTGATTGCCAAGATTTTTAAAGACCAAGAACGAATAATTAATCAAAACAGCTATCTGATCAGAATATAATATAAGGCAGACAGTGAATTAGTTTTTACGTAAGAACACAATCAGGATGAAACAAAAAGGGTAATTTGGCTCTGATTTTCCTCCTACTTTATATAATGTATTTTTATTTGATTAGCAGTACCCTGGCATTTTTACACAAAAACCTGAGTTCTAAAATGCTTTCATCCATCATAGTTAGTTATTGTCTTAGTAAAGGATTGGTAATTTCTTTGTAAATTGTTTCTCATTCTTTGTATCAGCTGTAACTTGAATAATTGCATTCCAGCAGCATTTCTCTAAAGAAGTACCAGTTCTTTGTCAGAATTATTCATATGCAGAAGGACTTGAACAGAAAATGGCCCTAAGCTATTTGTAAAAAACTGATGACCCATAACACACAAAATATAGGCATGTTAGAGAAGATGCCTGTGTGGCTGTTTAGAATATTTAGATTTCCTGGAACCTCTCTGTGGAACACACTTCCTGAGACAGCATTTGGTCTTCAAGAGGTCATTGCATCCAGTGTTTGAATACCACATCCTGTCTTCTCTGCATGAATGTCATGGATTCTGTAGAGCTTCCTAAAAATAGCAGTCCAAAACTTCCCCTGTACATCCTGCTGTGTGTGTAACAGGATTTTCACTGATTTGATTTTTCCATGCCTATCCTTTAAAAATATATGTAAATATATATGTTAAAATCTTGGAAGAAACAAACCCGCTAAATCTAAATGTTATCTTCAAACAGAAGTGATTTTTAAAGAAATTAAATGTCAGTTCTGGCTTTCCAGGACTATTGGATCAGACATTGGTGATAAAATGGTTATCATAAATACAGATTTGGCAATTGGTATTAATGTATTGATATACAGAATATAAAACTAGCAGACTTCACAGCATTTTAATTTAACAACAGTGAAAGAAAAGTTGGTCCTATATGTCATTATGAATCTTGTTTTCCTTCCTACTAATGTATAAATTTGAATGACACTTTGTTTTGTCATCTGTACATTATATGGTGGGATAAACCTGAACTGTCAGGGCTGACCAGTATTATTTCTTTAATCCTTGTTGCAAAATCCTTGAACAGACCTATTGGGCCTTTAATCCATTACAAGTGTAGAAAAAGGCACTGCAGTCAAAATATGGGCACATTCTATGGAGGTACTTTTCCTCCAAACAAAAACATTTTAAATGTGTGTGTATATAGTAGTTCATGTAACAGTAGTGAGTCATTCACTGGGGTATAGGCAACCTATCATGTGTCATGCTTTAGAAGGGAGGATTGTTGTGGGTCCCTTCATACTTTTTTTCACTTTCTTAATTGAACCAACATAATCAGAGGGAAAGTCTTAATTTTCTGTTATTTTTAAAGTCTTTTTACCTCTTCTTTATCTCACACAGCTTATTTTCTGGAGTAAGCCCGGAGTTCATGGTGCTACTTTATTTACTCCTTTTTAATTGTTAATTGATTTTATTTTTTTAATCTCTTTTGTAGATGAAAGAATTCCAAACTAAAATGCAGTCAATGTTTCCAGCAATTCCTAAAAATAGTGAGTCGACTGTGGAATGGGAAGACTTACTTAAATCCAAGTGAAAGACTCAGAGCCATTTGGAGATGTCTCTTTCAGCAAGAACAGGAGCAGAAGTAGCAGAAGTGTCCCGTCTGAAAAATAGAGACGAAAACTCAGACTGAGCAAGTTACTGACTGAGTTCACTGATCCTGGGAATACCAGTTAACATCCGGCAGCAAGGGAATTGAAACGAAAACAAAGCAAAACCGTTTATATTGTACTTTTCAGCGTGCTTGGTATAGTTGTTTTGTGAGGAAGTGAACCCTCCCAGGTAAGTTGGATCCAACTTGAAAAAAGACTCTCTCTTCTGAAGACTTAAAGAAGAAACCGATCTTCGGTAGTAAGTATAAGGACAAAGCCCCAATAAAGTCTTATCCCGTCCTGCGTCTTAAGAGGAATTTTAGGAAATTTCTCTAGGAAATGTCTCTTTCAGTGACATTTACATGTTCCATTAGGAATATAATCATCAGTTGTAACAGATCTGTTGCTGAGCCTGGAGGTAAAGCGTACAGTGCACTCTTCTAAAAATAAAGGAGATATTTAAAATTGCAAGAGAGAAAGTAACTAAACCAAACTACTTTTGTATGTCTGAAAGGAAAGTTTAAAAATTCTCATATGCAAGTAGTGACCTGCTGAGCTCCTCTGTAGAGCATCAGAAGAGATCTCTACGTATTAGCTTTTTTAATCAGATCCCACAATAGTGACTTTGATAGTTTGCATAAAAACCTCTACTATATTTGTGTAGCAATTTAACTTGTAAGTGAAAGAGGTGTAAAATAGTGAGACACCCAGTTTGTCCTACACAAATATTTTCAGCTAAGAAACTGTATGGGCAGGGCTAGGTTTTTTGTATGTCAGTGGTTCCTGTGGATATTCTACCAGGAGAAGCAATGTGATATTTTCCACACATTTTCCAGACATTTTAGTTTCTCGTGAAGTGTGGGCATGAACTAAGAAGAATAATGTCTTACTCAAACACTGTATTTGCAGAACTGTAGATTTGTAAAAATGCAGAAATTAAAAAAAATGCTATCAGTGAACAATCCTTTGTTGAATGCTCAGTTATCAGGTTTTTTTATTAATTGCACACAGTCCAATTAGTCAGTTGTCAGATTTAATAAAGTCGTCTTAAAACCTGTCTTTTGTGATTAAGTCTTTATATTCCTAGGAAAGAACATTAAAAGAAGCTTTAAATGTCAGATGAATAATAGACAAGTATGGTTTTCCTATGAAACATGACACTAAAATAGTATCTTTAAAGCAATTGAGGTGTAATAGTTGACATCTTTTCCACAGCTTGGTGCTTGTAATCCAATATTAAATAAATTTTGGTGAATACTGCCATCGTACGCATATGAAAAATGGTACTATTTTCATATTTCCGTTAGTTTGTGTGCATGACGATACCTGTATTGCCTGTGCTTATGCATATTAGTGCTGAGTTACCAAGTTTAACAAGAAGCCATGTCATTAAAACTGATCAAGAACTAAACTAAAATGCAAATGGCATGATGTCCTTGAGGTTGCGTACCTTTAATATCTAAAGTGGGATTCAGGTCACCTGTCTTTATCTGGATTAAACAACTCACCTAAATTGGTCATCCAAAGTTCCCTGCACAGTCAATGGAGAAAGCCAGGACTGGTCAGAGGGTGACTTGCATTGTGCTAAAATGAATGGCTGCTTCTGGAATTGTACAAAGCATCTGACCCAACCTACCTGCTGGCTGCCTCTCAAAAAAGCCCCTCTGCCCTTGCTTACCTCCCATCAGCACGGTGACTGCATGAGAACACTGTTCAGGAGAAACTCAGAAGAAAAATGAGTGGTTTTCGGGAGCTTTAGAGATCTTGAGGGTTAGACAAGTGCTAGTCCTGGCACAAGAGAGCTGTCCCTTCTGGGAATTGGTTAGCCATTGGATCAGTGTAGCTATTATTAAAAAAAAATTCCTTATGACAGGATGAATTAAATCTGGAGGTGCCTGTTACTATATGGGCATAGAAGATCATGCTCTTCAAAAAATCCTAACATAGTGAAATATACACACAGAAATCTTTAAAGTGGAATCACACTTACAGGGCAAGTACAGAGTGATCAAGTAAATCCATGTTGAGGTGAAGGCTGAACATAAAACACCTTCCAAAGAGAGAGGAATTCATAGATCATCTTATTCCAAGCTTTATTCTGGAAACGGGCTTTCTCTAGATAAAAGTTCGTGTAGAAGACTGCAAGTAAGTCAAGTCTCAATCCACATGAAAAACGTGGGAGATCTTAGAATTTCTTTATTGCACTGTGCAGCTCTTTTCACTTGGTGAACATTCTGCTGGTTTTGTGATGGTTCATTTTTTACTCTTTATGAAAATATTTCGCAAAGATTTACAGGAAACCACAACAAAACCCTGAACAAATAGAGGGGAAAAGTACCTAGTACATCAGTAGCAGCTAGATACCATAGTGTATGTAGTTATTGAAACTGAGCAAATAAAATTAGGCAAAAACCAACAGACAATATGCATTAAAAAAAAAAAAATCAGGTTTCAAGACCCAAATACTAGAAATAGACATGGACACAAAAAAGTTGGTGGATGCAGTGGCTCCCTAATTATTTTCACTTTTATTTAAAAAATTGCTTAGTCTCTTTCTGCATCAAGGGAGTGTAAGAATGAAACATGGAAGTTTATTTTCATTATCAACTTTTTCTGTGCAAAAAGTTACACTAAAAGAAGGGAATGTTTGCAACACTGCTATTCAAAGTGGGTAATGTAGCATAGCCGCAGTGAGTTTAAAGTTGTTTCAAGTTGCTTTTCAGCTGACCCCTGTGTTTCATTTACACTGATTTTTTACCAACTTTCTGGTCACATTTAGTTATAGGAATAATGGAGGCCATGTGTGTGTTGCGTTAAGAGGCAGATGCCCAAAATCAGTGTTAGCAGTCCGGTCGCGCCCAACCCCTTTCGTTGGACTATCACGGGTCCAGATGCACTACTAACATCACACGACCTGCTCAGCCGGACACCTCCTGAACTCACACGGCCGCACTCAGAGGTACGGTTGCATTCAGAGACAACACACGCGGCTGAGTCAATCAATAGTGCGATTTATTGAAGCAACAGATGCACAAATTCTTTGGGTTGCCGGTCATAAATTCACTGTCTGCAAGCAAGTGCACTAAATTGATTATGGTCGGGTTACACACGCGTGGGGTGATGAAACAACTCTAGAGATTCCTAAAATCCCTGCAGATCCCCTTGGGATAGCCAAGTGTTTGAATCTTACCCAAAGGCGTCCCAATGGGGGGGAAGAGAGGGTCAACCCGTCGGCAGATCCTAAAAGTCAGGAGTGATGGTGTCTTCCCTGACATCCAGCTCTTTTCAAACTATTTTATAGTGTTTTACTTTGCAGGTGGAGCTTGAGTGACTCTAGTCACACATACCTTTATCAGGATTGGCTCAAAATTGTCCCGCTTCGCGTTTAAAGGTACAGACTAGGAAAAATTCAGTGCGCATGCTCATTGAGGGGTGGTCGCACCTTGGGAGGTGGGTAACTTTTGAGGGGTGTGCGTTTTAGTATTATAATGGTATTATACTCCAAGTACAGCATTTCATCAAAGTTGACAGGTCACTGACCCAGGGCATCGCACGTGCAGCTTATTAATGTACACACCGTGTACCTTCAAATTCCCCTGTTCACAGAGCGTGGCTGCGACATCTCCACTCCGCTCCACCCTCCATGCAATTTCTCCCAGAGTCAGCACACCAAGTTCCCCTGATGTTGCCAACATCTAGTGTTGCCTAGGGAATTGCCATGGTACAGCCTCATTGTACACTAGTGCTACGTTCCACCCTGTTTCAATGCTGTTCTTAGAGGGTAAATTTCCAAATCGCTCCTCAGTGATTACTCCACAGTGTGTTCCTAAAATTAACCTGTAGGCTAATACTTACAATACACGAGCTCCCTCCACAATCGTATGTTGCTTGGATGCAAAAAGAGAAATAGGAAAACGGTGATGGAAAGAGATCAGCATGGCAAATGGCTGTGCGAGAAACCGTGATGGGCAGGCTACAAGCAGGCTACTCGTGCTTGCCAAGGGAGCCTGCGTAGTACCAGCAGCCCCAAGGTCAGTAACGGTGTCTTTGCTGTAAAAGGTGGCAAAAGAAAACAAACTGGAAATGCTTGTTTAATTTGGTCCACTGTCCACTCTGGCAAAAAAGTCTCAGGGGCTTTTGCTGTGATTTTTGTCACCTACAGCATCTGCTGGCTTAAGCCAGGCTCCTAAGAGCCCGTTGTTTTAGAAAATTCAGGTCACCTAACATAGACGCAGAGCAGAGTAGCCTTTGATATTTAGGCTGTCATTCAAAAATCTCCAGAGAGTTAACATGCCTGAAACTCAATTAAGGATGAAGAGCTGAATCAACACTGCGAGAGTCTGGGCTGGTGGTTGCCGAATTTTCAGACATTTCGAACCTGATAGGCCAGAAAACAATCCCACTGGGGCAAATGGCCTATTTTAGCAATCGGGATTGAGCTGACAGAAGTTGTCTGCCATTTGTCTGTTTCTTTAATAGCAGGGACATATTGTTAAATCAGTTAATGAGAAGAAAAAGTGTTTAACCATTAATGCGATCCTTTATGTGGCGTGCCATCTGTGTATTGTGTGCTGAATGTCCCTGGATGTGGAAGAGAGGAAGTCATACAGGCTTTCAACCTTGTCTTCTTTACTGTCATTATCTTGGGCAAATACAATAAACAATCATTTATCTTCTGGAGCATATACAGTTTTAATCAACCTATTAACCTGGAAGACATTTTTTGCAGACTTTGGAAGGCACAAAAAAGACACTATCTCCCCACGAGCAATCCATTTCATGGGCGCTGAGCACTAGAAACTTAGAATGTAGTGAACAAGACAAGTTATTTTTTCCTTTGACATCTACGTAAAGCTATTTGCAGAGACTTCAGTCAAGCATAATTGGAGACTAATCCTGAAATTCTGGAAGGAAATAGGCAAATCGGCTTTTGTAGACTGTG